CGGCTGTATCTTGAATAAAGCTATGCTTCTCTTTCCCAGATGAGTTTGCTGATTAGGGCAAAGTTGTAAGGCCCTAAAATCCTTGCTTGATGAGGCACTTTAAAGGGCTTGCAGTTTTTCATATATTCTGAGTTAGACACACAGAACAAACACCAACAAGATGTTCTTAAGAGGTCAAAACAACAGAAAAAACTTTACTGGCAACTTCAGGATATCAAAGAACTTTGGCAAAAGATTTATGACAGCATCCAGTCAACATAAAACACTTTTCAAAGCATTAACTTAGCTCGTTTGACTTAGGAAACTCTAAACCCATTCAATTCTTACTCAAAAATTCCTAGAAGAGGGAATTAGAAGAAGAAAGAGAAAGAGAGAAAGATGGAAAAGATATAGAAAAGAACAAACATAACTACCTCTCCTGTTTCCTGCGGTGTTCAACTCATAGAGATTCCAAGAGGAGGTAGGGTCAAGATGTGCTCACCCTGTGTCTCAGGTTAAATACCCTTTGGCTTTCATGGGCCACTTTCTTTCATTCCCACACAGGAGTTCCAGTCATCTAGCCACTCTAGGGCTGGACTGAGGTTTCAGGGGCAGGGTGTGGAGCATTGCCTTCAGTGTGCCAGGGATTTGTGGCCACTGTGGGGCTGGGATACAGGCTCTGGGGGATGGAGTGTATGCACTGCCTCACCAGACTCACTCGCTGCCTCTTTCCCTCACACACATCCTGAAAACATTTTGAGCAAGTAATCCTTCCAGTCTGTCACACAAGGGAAGAAGTCACAGGACAGGAAGGGTATAATTTATAATCTGTCCCTGTGGAAATAGTGTTTGAGAGGAAGTCTGTAATAGCATCTGAAGAGTGGAGGATTTATGGGGGCTGTGGCTAAGTGTACAATGTTCAATACAAAGTGTGAAGGCAACCCTTGCTAGCTGGAGGTTAAATCAAAGAAGATTAAAGCCAGCCATACCCAGATGACATCTGGGGAAAGCAAAAATTTGAGAAATGAAAGGAAATCGGTAAAATATGGGAGACTTGAACCTGAGGCTTCTTTGAGAAGACCAGTGAAGTTTTTAATATGTGTAAGCCTACATGCATAAACACAGGTGCATACAAGTATAAAGCAGGAGTGCCCTGACTGTTAATTAAAAAAGGAGGTGGGATAATCTAGTAGAACATGTTAATTTAATAATGAAAGAGAATAATGTGAAATGACTGGTGTGCGTGTAAGCATCATTTGGGTCTTTGCCTGTGATCCTGGAGTCACAAATCTACTATCAGCTCGATACCTATTTATCTCAGCTGTGAGTTCTTAACAAGTAAGGCAGCATTGCTGTGAACACACAATGATTTTAGGTTAAATGTTTAAGGTTTTCTTTAAAGTCTTGATATAAAAAGTTATAAATTGCAGATCTAAGTAGTGACAATAATATGAGAATGTGAATATATAGAAGCTTACGTGTGCTTAGAATGTGATGTTACATATATAAAAAAGGAGAATTACAAGGAAAAAAAGGTAAGTTTAAGGTAGAAAGCACAGAACAGAAAATAGGAAAAATATCCAGTCAGTTAGAGTTGTTAGGGTTTTTAAAATTCTGGACTAATTGCTAAAGAAAACTTAGAAACTTCATCATGAAATACACTAAGACATGCTGAAAAAAACCCGGTAAGTTTCTAGTACTGTCTGTAATGTGTTGAATGGTCAGGGAGTTGGATGACCTGTTAATAGCTTTTGATTTTATGTTCTACCATTTTTTCATTTTTCCCAGCTCAAATCTGCCAGTGTCTCTTGAAAATGCAAACAAAAAGGGTATTTGGGAAAAAAAAAACCCAAATGTACAAAAAAAACCCAAAACAAACAAAAAAAGGCCACTAAAACTTCAAAGCTATATAATATTGTATAAGTGTATGAAAAACAGTGTTTATTTTAAAAATGCAAATTGATTAGGGGAAAGGTAAAGCCTATTTTGGATAAATTTAATCTAATGCCGGAAATTTCATGGAAAGATAAAAGCTCTTTAAACCTTGGCCATGTACTACTAGTGGCTTCAGATCACTGAAGACCTCTAAGGTTGTGCCTTGATGATAATTTTTAACAATGCTTTGACAGCACCTGGTCACTTAAAACCTCTTTTAATTTCATAGGAAATATGTTATGTTAGGAATATATGCACCAGTGTTGTTTACCAGCTTTATGCTCCAAGACAGCTTTTTAAAATACCATATCGTTTGGTGTTATTCTTGTATCTCTTCGTGACTTGCAGAATCACAAAATGGTTGAGGTTGGAAGAGACCTTTGGGGTTCATATTGTACAACAATCCCTGCTCAAGAAAGGCCTGTAGAGCTGGTTGCCCACAATTATGTCCAGATAGCTTTTGAGTATCTCTAGAGATAGAGATTCCATAACCTCTCTGGACAGCTACAGTGCTTGGTCACCTTCACAGTAAAAAAAGCATTTCCTGATGTTCAGAGTAAACCTCCTGGCTTTGTATCTGCTTGTGCCTGTAACCATTGTCTTTGTTATTGTGGAAGACTGATTCTGGCCTCTTTGGACCCTCCTTTCAGATATTTATATACATTAGTGATATATCCTACCCTTAGCTTTCTCTTCTGTTGGCTAGCAGTCCCAGTGCTCTCAGCCTGTCCTCCATTCCCTTTGTCACCTTCCATGGCCCTTTGTCAGACACTCTCTGGTATGTTCATGTCTGTCTTGTACTGAGTAATCCAGAACTGTACACATCAGTCCAGGTGTGGCTCATCGCTGTTGAGCAGACAGGAAGTACCATTTCTTTTTACCTGCTTACAACACTTTGCATAATGCAGATACCATCAGCCTTCTTCACTGGCTTATGTTCAACTTCGTGTCCTTCCAAAGCTTCTCTCCAGCTGGGAGAGGTCCAGCATGGGTTGATGCCTCCATTTGTTCCTCCGCTGGTGCACGACTTTGCTTCTTGGACTTTATGAGATTCTAGTGTGCCCATTTCTCCAGCCTGTTGAGGTTCTCGTGGATTGCCACCATGACCGTCTGCCATCCAGTTTGATGTCAGCTTCAGACTTGCTGAGGGTACACTGTACCCCATCATCCAGATCCTTAATGAAGATGTTAAACAGGATTGGTCCTAGTATTGACCCCTGAGATAGATTGCTAATTACTGGCCTCAAACTAGACTTTGTGCCACAGATTACTACATTTGGGGCTTGGCTATTCAGCCACTTTTCAACTCACCTTTCTGACTGTTTGTCCAATCCACATATCAAGAGCTTGTCTACATGTGCCCTATAACAAGATCTTATGGGAGACAATGCCATGGGCTTTATTGAAGCCCCTGTAGACAATATCCACTGCTGTCCCCTAATCTACCAGGCCAATCATTTCTTCATAGAATTCATATTCATGCTGAATGCTCCTGATGAATTCTTTGTAATGTGCCTGGAAATGCCTCTGTAAATGCAACCTTCCCTGGGGTTGAAGCAAGGTTGACAAGACTGATTGCTTGAATCCTTCTTATTGCCCTTTTTGAAAATAGGAGTGACATTTACTTTCTTCTAGCCTTTGGACTCTTCTCCCAGTTTACATGATTGATCAACGATTATTGAGAGTGGCCTTGCAATGACATCTGCCAGCTCCCCTCACACTTGCAGGTGCATCTCACAAAGGCCAGAGGATTTCAATATGTTGGGTTTGCCTAGTTATTCTTGGACCTGATCCTCTTCCACCAAGAGTACATCTTCCTTGCTCCAGCCTTACCTCCTAGTCTCTGGGGTCTGGGATTCCTGGAGGCTGGTCTTGATAGTAAACACTGAGTTGAAGATGTTCAGTTTCTTAACCTTTTCCCTATCTGTGTTACCACATCCGCCATCTTGTTGAGCAGTGGGCTCATGTTTTCCCTAATCTTCCATTTATCACCTGTATACTTTGCAGAAGCCCTTCTTGTCTTTGACATCCCTGGCCAAATTAGTTGCAGTTGAGTTTTAGTTTCCTTAGCTTTTCCATGCTCAGAAGTTGTTTATGTGTCCCTCTCAGGTTACCCAGCCTTATTTACACTTCGTATGCTTCATTTTGTGCTTGAGTTTGGCTAGGATCTTCTTCTTCATGTATGTAGGCCTTCTGCTGTTCTTTGATTTTTTTTCAACACTTGACCTTGGCAGAGGTGATTCTTGAATATTAATCAAATTTCTTGTGTCCCATTACCTAGGGCCTGATTCCATGGGACTCTTCCAAGCATTTATTTGGAGAGGCCAGTCTGCTCTTTTGAAGCCTGGGACTGTGAGCTTGCTTTTCACCCTCCTTTGTGCTCTCAGGATCTGGAACTCCACTATTTTATGGTCACTGCAGCCAAGGCTGCCTTGGACTTTCGAATCATCAATGTATTTCAGGAACCCATATTTCTTGAAACACTGATAAAAGTCGTAATAACCCTAGATATTGGTTTATCCTTGACAAAACTGGGGCAATATCCCATTACTCTATGAATTATGAGTGAGATTTTTACCAGCCCTTCTTAAGAAGCTTCTCTTACACTTTATAATTTTGTAAGCTAACATTTTGCTTATAATAACTGTACTAATTAACTTTATTTTTATTCTTGTTGTATTGGTGTTTCCAAGTAAATACAAAATATATTAGTGTTCAATTGATAAAATTCTTCGAATAAAGAGGAGAAATTAATTTCTATACAGGAGATCTTGTGTTATCCATTCTCCCTAAGAAGAGGTGACTTCACAATCAGTATAAAAATGTATTAATGACAAAAGAAACTATATGTTACACGTTATATGTGCATTTGTATAAAATACAAATACAACCAGATGTGGATTTCATCATGTTATATAAAAGAAACTGTGTATAACTTGAATTTGCCTTTATTATAATATTAATATTGCTCTACATCTTCTTGAGGGGTTTTTTATGCTTCATATTGATATATCAGAAAATGATGTAGGCTGCTGACTTTTCTACAGAATTAATCTTAACTTTGATCCTTTTATCATACTGTGCAGGAGTTCTGAAGAGAGCTAGTGGGGAGCTTTTAATAGGAGAAACTAGAGCAAATGAAACCAGCGTGCTTCCTGAACAGTTACTTCAGGTAGAAGAGGTGAGTATGAAAAGAATCCTACACTTTGTATGGGGTTTTCTTTTGTGTGTGTGTCTCCAGTGTAGACATTCACCATGTTCATTATAAACACCTATTGCTGTAGTTCCATTACTTCAGCTACTGTGATTACTTCTATCTGAAAAGTTTCTGTTTAGTTGGAATAAAATCTTACAGCATTCAAAGTAGTTGTTGGTATTTAGTAATTAATAATAGAAAAAAATTAATTATAAGATACCACATAACAAAATGGGAAAAAATTACTAAAATATTATAGCTTTCTTAATATTGTACATGTAATCCCAAAGAGTCTTGAAGAAGGTTTATGAAGTTCTTAGAGTTTGGTCATTATGGTTCTTCCTAGAGGTATAGATACTCATACAATGAGTATGTTCTTTGATGCTAACAAACCGCTGTGTAATAAGCACTACATTTGTAGAATGTATATAGAAGATTTTTTTTATCTGTCTCCCATTTAATACAAAACACATTTATATTGTTGGTTTTGTGGCATCTAAATGCTGCAATAAATCTGATACTTAATGATAGTGGGATTTAATTTTTTAATGGCTTGATTTTAATGCTGAAATTTTTTTCAAATTGTGATTTGGATTGGTGTGTAAGACTAATACTAATATGTATTACAAAGAAGAATCTATTTTATGTAGATTGGGATGTACTTGATCCCCATCAAAAAAAAACGAGGGAGTGCAATGTCCATGGGGGCTGTCTCTGTGCTTACAAGAGCTGAATTTTGCTAGTGGGGAAAGGGAAAGGAAGGAAGATACAACGTTTAAATTGAAGACAACTGGAAGGGCTTCACTTTGTACCCTTTCATTCTCTTCCAGCTTAGTATTATAGCTGCAGGAATGGTTAGGAGTCTGTCTTTTCTATTCTCCTACTGTGCCCTCATGGTGGAGATATTTACTGAACATTGTCTTATGTCATTAAAATATGTCTCTTACAGTGGTGCAATTCTCCAATGGCCACTGCAGGGAAAGGTTTAAGTCTGATCTAAGTCATAAGAACAATGCAAAGTCAGATAAATCAAAAAGTAATACTGTGTCTACTTCTGGCAACTATTACACTTCAGATTACTTCAGAAGTCTCTGTTTAAAGAAGGCAAGGAACTGATGTAAAACCACAGTAAAAGCCAGCATTGGCTAAAAATTACAAATCTCTATTTAAACATTTTAATATTTTCTAAATCCAGTTCTAGAGAAGTGAAATACAGTGTGGCTATGTTAAAACGAGCTCCTCTTAAGTGTTTCCCATTGAGATTCATGAATAGTAACTTCCAGTTGCTAACCTTGCAGTGAAAATTATTACAGGGTATGAATTAGTAGATTACTTGTCATAATATTGAAAATATATATAAAATCTTTGACTTTGTTAAGCACATTATGTTAAAGATTACAAAATAAGTAAAGAAGAAACTTTTTTTTAAAGCTGTCTTGTTTAAACAGGAATTTTATTTTTTGAAAAATTTGATGACAAGTTTAATGTTGTCAAGCATGTTCAGTTTGTTGAATGTAAATACTGCTTTTAGTATGATTTCAACACTAGTGGACTATATTTTAAATTATTTAAATTAATTTCAAAATATGATGGTGTCCTGTAATTTAATTATGGATGTGAATTTAATTTTTGGACAGTATTAACACTCAGTAATGATTTTGGATTGATTTAATTTTAATATGTATTTCAGCCTATTTTACTGAGTTTTGGCTGGAGAAATGCATTTAAAGACCTGTCTTCTTCTGTGGCTCACTGCGTAACAATAGCAATTGAGGATTTTTCATCTAAAATTCTTCAACATGAGCAGAAAGAAGAGTGTTCAGCTGCAGGCTTTGCAATGAGTCTTGTAAACAACCAGCAAATGAGGGAGTCCTGCAGAGCAGTCCAACAGGAGGAGCAACCAAAACGAATTGCTAAGGCAGGTATCAAAAGATCTGAAGTTTGAAGGGAGACAGAATGCCAAGGCTGTTTGCCATCTACACTTTGAAGTACTTACAGTACTATTAATATTCTATATCTTATATAAATGGAATTAAGAAGAAAGTGAAAGGCATTACAATGTGAAGCTGAACGGAGCTTTGGACAATAGCCCGTAGTTTCTACTTGAAAGAATTAACTTTTAAACTTCACTGGCATTATTTTTTTCAGCCAAAAAGTTCTAAAGCATTCTGATTATTATCCGCTCTGTTACCAAGTGGTTCGATGGGAAAATGTCAAAAGCTTTGAAACACGGCTGTAGAGGGATTTCCTGTATTCATATCATTAGACATGCCATTCAACTAATTGGCATAACCAGTAATAAAACCAATTTAGAGTTATTTGATTTGGCTGAAAGGTCATTTATTGATTAAATTCCTTTTGTAAGGAAAGGTATGTTGGAGAGACTTTTTTTAGTAAGATTTGCAACTATTCTAGCAGATTTGGAGTGCTGTTAATGAATGCTTGCTGGAAATAACACGTGAGCTTTGGGAGATTAATGTATGAATTTATAAAGAGAGGACATGTTTGTTTCCAAATCCAGTGTTAAAAAATGTGTTTGTGTATTTTCCAAATGTAATTAGTTTAGAAAATTATTTACAAGGAATTAACCTTGTGCTTTGAATGTATGTTTAGTGACATCAAAACCGAATGAAGGCCTTACTGGCCTAAGATGGTGTTAATTTTCCCCCTGGTATAGAATATGCAGCTTTAAAGCAAGAAGGAATGAAAGAATATTTAATTTACTTTAAAGAAATGTTACTCCTCTGTTTAAGATACTAAAATGTTTATGAAGCTGATTCAATATATTAATGTTTATATATTTATGCTGATTTCATTATTCAGGAATCTTATCCTAGCATGTATAAATTAAACAGTGCTGTCAGAATGCAAATAACGTGGTGCCACATTTATTTCTCTCAGTTTTGTTCTGACATCATGGAAGAACTCGACACATTGCTTCCATTGGCTCTGGCCTGCAGAGATGATTCTCTTCAGGAAATTAGAGCAAACTTTGTAGAGGCCTGCAGCAAAGTCGCATCAGCTGTTTTGGCAAGACTAGAGGAGAAAAGCAAAGACGTTCCCTTGAAGGCTCCCCTGCAAGACCTGTATGCTGCCCTTTCCACAGCGATATATGTGTTTCAGCATTTTACAATGTATAGCAATTTAATGAGAGAAACAAGCAAAAAGTATGTCCTTTTTACTTAAAATGGTTAATTCAAACATAAATAATATGAGAGCTCATTCCATTTTGGTGATACAGTATTGTGGTAGTTTTCTAAATTGCATCATAGTTTTTAGAACATACAGTATATGTACTATTTAAGGAAATACCTGAATCAACCTGATAGTCTAGAGAGTCATTGTAAAACAAATTATTTACGTGTAACATTTGCATTTGATTTGCAGATCAATTTATCTTAATTATTAAATTTAAGAAAATAGGATTGTCCAGGGAACTGAATGTACTCTGCTTTTACATAAATAAAGTGACAAGGCCTGGATATCCTTTTCTGGCCTTTGCAATGCCCAATTTTCATAAAATCTGATTCAGCACATAGCAATATTGAAGGACAATATAAAAATACATTTCTGTGCTTTTTGCTAACACCATGTACATTCAGACATATAAAGAAGTACATACATTGTAGTTTTAGAATTTAGTTTATTATTACATGCAGAATAAAAATTAGAGAATGTATGAAGTAGGAGTGTAAAGTCAAAGGCAGTGTTTAACCTGTGGGGAAATATAATTGCAATTGTAAATACAATTTTAGGAGATTTTGTCTTTAGGTACTAGGAGTCTATTGGTGCATATGTTTCTAGCCAAGTGCAATTTAAAAGTAGAAACAGTGTTTTTTTTGGGGAGGGGCCCTGAAGTAGCACAATTTCTAAGGAGTGTATGACTTCTAAGTGGTTAGATACACTGTTGAGCTGCTTTCCCTCTGATATTTTACTGTCTCCTGCTGTGTCTTTGTGGGTGGGAAGTCTGAGCCAAAATACTGCTCAATAATTCTCCTTAGGTGTATTATCAAAGAGTTTTAGTAAATACCTATCAAAAGCAATCTCTGTACTCTGTGCTTATGTTTTCTTTGTCACACTCAGTGCTGATGTAATAATTGCTGATGCAAGAATGCTGCAACACAGAAACTCCAAATAAGTGAATGACAATTGTACTTGTCTCAGAAAATAGGATGAAGTCATTTATTTCTCATGATTGGTTAAATGAGAATTTATAGACAAGCAGACATATTTTAAGAACTTTTGAAACAAAAAGTTGCAAAACTGAATGCTAGGTTCAATACCAAGAGGAAATGAATGACCGATACCCACTAATCAAAACTATTTGCAGTGCTAGGGATTGTTACATCCTAGTGCACAACCTTTCAATCATTGTCTCTTAATCATTCTCTCTGAACAGACCCCTGTTCCTAGTGCCTGTCCAAAAATATCAGGAATTCATCAACATTCTCCAATTTCAAGTTACGAACTACTGCATCAGAGTTTGTGCTACAAGTATTTTACAGGATGCTGAGAGCCACTGCTGGGATGACTACAAAGCTTTTTACGAGGTGTGAGGTTAACTTTACTATGGGTCCCTTTTACAAAATGTGTTCTAGTGATTGCCAGCTCTCTGACTAGTCAGAAGCATGAGATCAGCATTGTTTTTACACAAGGACTATTGGAATTTACTATTTTGAAATATCTACTATTGCAGGCAATTGTCTCTCCAGAAATGATGTAGGAAAACATAGTCATGTAAAGAGGAGATAGATTGTTACCATGAAGTGTTTGTGTCATTTGCTTCATAAAATATTTATTGTGTTTCAAGACATTTATACAGAACTCAGTAAACAGGACACCATCATCTTAATCTCTAAGAATTTACACTTCTCTTAGAAAGTGTGACATATAAATCTTTTTCTGATAAATTTTTTATCTGATTCTTTGATTTTTATTTTCAATTGCTTCCCCTTTTTACTTCTTGTGAGTAAAGGGTATAACAAAGAAAGGTGGCCAGTATAATTACCTACAGCATTCAACAATGTATTTCTGAAATAACCTGTGCCATTTCACTTGCATCTTGAAGTCACAGGTCTGTCTGTATAGCTATAATTCTAATGATTCTATGAAAAAAAAAAATTACATAATTATTTTCATGTATTGGATTTTTTCCTTCATCCTAGTTAAATATAAACATGGGTTAACATACAATGTTTGAAATTATTTTCACTTTATTTCAGAGTGAAATTGTGCATGGGTTTTTAATCAATAATAACTGAGATCTCTTGGAGACAAAGTCTTATCCTTCCTTGCATAATTTTCTGTGTGGGACAATTAGTGTGTTCTGCTAAGCATTTTCTAGAATTCTTGCATGAGAGAAAATTCCATCTGGTACATGTAATCTGCAGATGAAATATCAGAAGCTGCTCAGTCAGTGATAAAATCTGTGGTGGACAAGGCACGCAGAGCACAGAGTAATTTATCAAAATGTCCATCCCTCAAAGACAAGTAAATAAACATTTCAATTTTGTTTGAATGATAGATAATGAGGTAAGAAATGCAGTGGCTTTTGGCAGCTGCTGAATCATGATATGATCTTCATTGTCTGTAGTGCCTATGGTGCTGGGTCTTCATTATTGGTGACTTCACCAATGTAACTTCAGTGTAACTTCACCACAGAGAAAGAGTTGTCTGACGAGAAAGAATATGGAGTAGCTAAACAGTTTTATCATTACTGAACAGAATTGATGTGTGTAGGAAAGAATGAGGAAAACTGGTGTCTCAGCTCTGTATGTTTGCAGGATTTGAGGTGAAAAGTATGTAATTTTACATCATCACTTCTCTTTTTACTGGGCCATGGGAGATGGCCCAAGGGTGGACCGTGATGTGCTCTGAGTTCCTTCAAGAGGCATGCTGCTGAGCAGATGCTACTTCAATTAACCTCTTGTAGACATCCTAAATGGAAGAGATTGGATTAAGATCTATTGCTTGTTACAGAGACAATTCCCTGCAAACTTCCAGCAGTGAGAGGTGGCTTCTTCCAACATATAAACTCAGCAGGAAGAGTGTGCCACTGGGCCAGCTCTCCAGATTACGTTATTGAATGAAGCTCTTGGTGTAGCAGACATCTGCTGTGGCTGTGGGAACTTATGTTTCTAGCAGTCAAAGAATAAAGAATTGTCTGTTCAGAGATAATACTGAGTGGCTTATGTAATAAAACACAGCTGCTTGTTTCCTCATATATAAGCTAAAAAAAAGGTCACATCTGTTTTTATTACATGAAGCCTGCAAAAATAGCAGATGTTTATCAGTGGAGTTGTCTAAAAATGGCAACAAATAGAAACACAGGACAGAAAAGGGGTGTGAATCTCATTTAAATCTTCGGTGATATTGTTGCTTCTGCAGTGGGGGTACAATACTAAAAAAGGGGGAAAGAGCTATTGCTTAAATAAACCAGAGTGGAAAACATGAAAAAATTTGTGTTTATAATTACAAAGTTAAAAAGTGAAATTTGTCAACAAGCTTGTTTCTTTTGTTCTTTTTCATAATTTTGGCCATAATGTAGTTCAAATATTATGTCAGAGAAAAAGCAAATAGTGACAACTTCCAATAATCTGCTAATGCTTATGCTAATGTATTTAAAGAGAAGCCAGATTATTTTTTGATTTTTGTTTATAAAGAATGCCTATCAAACTCTATAAATGTTTTAAAAATTCTGGGGTTATTTTATATTTCTAATAATTCTAAAATATCAACAAATTCTTAAAATATTTCTCAGTTCCTTTGGGATATGAGAACTGATGATAGAAGTATCTGTTCTCAAAAAGCTTCATGATAATGCTACATGCTGGACAGGTATTAGTTGAAATGTTTAAATGTGAGTTTTTCTGTGAACTTTTTAGAAATAATATGGATTAACTCCTGTGATTTTGACTCCTCTGTATTTATTTCTGTGTCTTAACGGGACAGATCTATTTGGACAATGAAATATTAATGCCAATGCTGATTCCTTGCCAGAAAACGTTTGGTTTCAATGCATTCAAATTTCAAGGAGAAAAAAATATCATAGTAGAAAAATCTGGTTATCTCTTATTGTTGGTTTAATAGTTCAATTTTTCTTTTCTTTTCTCGCGTATCTGTTATATATAACCAAGGTTTTATAATCATGGTTATGAATTTCTGAATTTCTGAATCTGGGTAAATATATATGCTTAAGTAATTTAAATAATTATTTTCTTTGCAGACAAAGAAACTGCCCTGTTAGTTTTATCCAACTATTCTACTGCATACAGAATACTGTCTGTGTTTTTAAATGAAACTTATAACTATGGATTTTGAGAATAGGTTATATAAGGATATCTTATGTAGGATATAAGAGTTCAAATGCTGTGGTTTTATTTTGTGGCAGAATTGTAATATTGTGACTGAAATGCAGCATGTTTCCTTGCAAATAAAGATGTCTCACATCTTTTCAAGGACTAGTTTTAGCCATCATATTCCTGGAACTCTTTAGCTATTTCCTTTCAGATTGAATTAATTATACCTATAGGAGTTAAATAGACATTTTGGAAGGAGTGGTTTTGTTATGTAATGTGTGCTGGTTTTGACAGGGGGAAAGATGCTCATTCTCTGTCCAGATGTGGCATTACTTCTGCTGTGCTCTTCACCATGATCTATGGACTATTCTACCTCCTAAGACAGCCCAGGAGATTCTTACAGATGTGCTAGAGCGATCTTTGGATATTCTGTCATCCAGATATTGTCAGGTGTGTCCCAGTTACAAAAGAACACCACAAATCAGGTAATGGTTGTATATTTAATGAACCGTTTTGATGGATAAAAGTAAATGTTCATTTTCTGTTACTCACAACTTTGATTCAAATTTCAATGTTATTGAACATGGCAGAGGGAAAAGACCAAATCTATGCATTTTGATGTTTATTTTAATAAAATGTATTTTGTATATTTAAGTATATTTAGTAATTATATTGTAAACTGGGCAGAATCAAAGGCCTCTTTCAACTCTCCAAAATGGATTGGTTTGAAAGCCTCACAATGAAAGTGCATTGAGGATTGGTGATGCATGCAAAAAATGTGGACATAATTGGCAATGTCAGGATTAGAAATCAAGTTGTTGATTCATTAAGAAAATTTAATGCGTTCCAGTAGAATTGTGTTTTAATATGACTTTTCAAGTGAAAGAGCTACAAGGTCACGTCAAAAGATTTGTCAGAATTTGCCAGTGGTGTAGAAAGAGAGAAGAGAAATGAGTTTCTGTCATTTTAGGAAATAAGAAATAGGAAGTTTTTCTTGTTGCAAGTCTTACATTTTGCCTGAGGGGAGGGTCTTTTTGAGAAATACTGGAGCAGATGCCTTCAAGTGGAAGTTTACCCTACCTTTGTCTTTACTATCCAATGTCATGTTTTACTGAATAAATACATGTATTTCTCCTAACAGAATCACAAAGAATTATAGAATGGGTGACATTGGAAGGGACTGCAGTGGATTATCTGGTCCAACATCCCTGCTCAAGCAGGGTCGTCCCAGAGCACAGGGCACAAGGCCAAGTCCAGACAGCTCTTAGATGCCTCCAGTGAGGGGGAATCCACAACCTGCCTGGGGCACTCTGTTCCAGAGTGCTTAGTCACCCACACAGTGAGGAAGTTCTTCCTCATATTCAGGTGGAATTTCTGGTGCACCAGTTTCTGACCATTGTATTTTGTCCTATTGCACAGCACCACTATGAAGACTTAAAAAGAGTTTGTCATTTTAGAGAGTTAAAGGCACTAAGCAGGTACATGTTCTGTGTGAGCGAAGAGTTATGTGCTGTCATCTCAAGTTTTATTATGAAAAGTATTGTTTTGAAATCTCAAATAACTTGCACAAGATCCTATTCTTGAAATGGATAGGAAAAAAATGAAGTTTTATTCTACATACCTATTTGTGTGCTCTGTTCCTGTAATAACTTTCTGTAATCAGGCTCTTCTATATTTTTAGTACAGAGTTTTGGTACAGAGAGGTTTCCTGAAAACTTGCCTGGAAATTCTTTTGGGGAAAAAGTTCTCTGAAATATGAAAGTATTACTTAAATGTCATAGTAGTCAATTCTATATGAATTTACTTCAAACTACTGAACAAGAAAGAACTTTTTACACTGTCATTTTTTAGAAAAATTGTATATTTGTTAAGGTGATTCTTGAGTTTTTCACTAAGTAAATTGAACTATCCAGTCATGAATAAACGAAAAAAATAACTCAATATAATTCAACATATTTTTATCACAGAATCTTTACATATTTTTTTAATAATGTTGTATTTTGTGAGGGTATCTTTTCTCCCAATGGTTCTTCAAATGGTAGAGAACTTACGTGTAATATGGGCAAATGTCTGTTTTTGTGTGTTTGCCTATATTTTTAAAAAATATGATCCTTAAAAATGCATATGATCACATGTGCGTCCGTGGCTTGTAGGTACTTGAGTACTTTTTAAAGTCCAGCCTCATACCTCCCATACCTTTTGTGTTATTCACATGTTTCCTGTGTTTTGTATGTCAGCTTAGTCTTGTGAGATTATATTGCTGCACTTTGGGTTCTAGCTGTTGTTCAGGCCAATGACATGTGATGCGCTGCCAACCAGTATCAACAGGCAACAGCTTGCTCACATTGTATGATGTTGCATGGAATTAGTTTTGCAAATTGAGGATTAAGTTCCTCTCTTCCTATGTTTTTGCCACATCAGGATTTGAAAGTAGTATGTACATTCTAAGTATAAGAAAAACAAAATTTATATATATTTACTTGTAGTTTAGAAAGTAAATAATTCATGCCTAATGACACTGACCTTTGAAAAAGGACATTTCCAAACTTTTAGGTCTTCTTTTTACTAGTTTCAGTAACAACTTTTCTGTGAAAGAGTTGATTTTTTACACAGTAGTGGGTGGAGACTTCCTGCATGACTGAAGAGGAAATTTAAAAGTCCATGCTATGGTTTTGGTATTTTATCCTGTCAGAGACAATGTCTGCTTAATTGGAACTTACCACTATCAAGATGTCTTAAGTAATGTTATTCTTGGGGTTTTTTTTTGCCTACAGAATTGATATTGCAGCAATTTTGATGTCCACTGAAGATATGCTCTGGTCGATTTGTAGTTCTGTGCAGGAGTTTCTGAATCCACACAAAGACAGAGATCTCAAGATCTATAAAATACATAGCCACTGCAATAGTCTGATCTCTGTGCTGGCTATTTTAACTTCACCACTGAAGAATTTGTATGAGTAAGTATGAAATAAACATTCAATTTGAGATAAAATTGGTTCTTGAGCTTACATAGGTAGATCCACAAGGTGAATTTTTGTGTTAAAATCAAATGCTATGCATAGTATTGACAAATTTTATTAGTCTTTGACTATTTCTCAATTATATCCCATATTTATTTTTATGATCTTACCTAAAGCCCAGTTATATCTGCTGAGATTTTATTAGCTTTGGATCAAATTCCTGTGCTGTACATTTTTATTTTTTTTTCTGTTAGTAAAATTGACCATAGTGAATGTCTGGGTTGATTTCTTCTGTGACAAATCCAGCAGAATGTCATTAGTTATTTATTATGTCCCAAATTTTCAATTTATTTTTCCAGTTAGGACATATTTCTTTTACGGTCTTACCAATCTGAAAACATTTATTACTATGGTACCAAATACTTTGGCGAGGTTTTCAAGGACTTAGTCAATCATCTATTGAAAAAAAAATCATATTACTAGTTCAGATTTATCTACTTTAGGCTTCTACTTTAGCTAAATCAGAATGTTCTGTTGTCATCTGATAATGTTTCTAGAAATACTGGAATGTAAAGATAATTTACTGAAATGATCATCTCATTATATGACCAGTATTCTTCAACAAATATAGTTAAAAGAATAAGAATATAGAATGCCCTTACTTATAAAATCATGTCTTCACAAGTCACAGCTGTAGAAAATGGACACGTAATTTGCAGTGAAATTGGGTCTGAGTCTTTTGTTGATAAAATTCTTCTGTAAATTTGGTGTAAGAGACAATACAAAGTGAGATCACAAAATAAAAAAGAGGGACAACAAAAGCCCAAACTAATGAAGCTACATTCTATTCAACTGGCTTTTATTTCATTATTCAAAGTAAGAAAATTCTAGGAAATACTAGGGTGGAGACCTCCTCCATATAAGCTTCTTTAACTAATTTTTTTTGTCATGTGTGGGCTTATTTTAATGTTTGTGGTCTCTAAAGAACATGCAAAAATGGATTATAACTGGATGTTTCATGTTATATAACACAGGCTTATGAACAGATAGCAATTTAGGTGACTCAGGAACAGATAGGTAGTCCTGCTGTGGCAGTAGGAACGGAGGCAGGAAAGGACATTGCAATAGCTGTAACTGCTTCTAGTGTCAGTTTTGGTATTTCATCTTTCTTTTATGAAAGCCCTTAAAATGATAGACCAATATAAACGTACAGATAAATTATTTATTCCTTTTATCAATTCTAGTCTCTTCCACTGATCAATGCTATTTAGATATTTATGTATACATAGCATTACAAAAAATGTGTGCTTTCTGGAAATCTCACAGTTTCAGAACAAAGTGCTAATGAAAAGCTTGGTTTTTATTTTATGTAAAATGCTGCAGGTAAACAACTTGGTCATATAGCTTTCACTGTAGTTAGGAATGTGAATTTCATTTCCTGAAGTTGCTTATCTGGAGATAAAAAACTTGACATGTGCAGAATGTAGCAGCTCATTTAATTTACTAGTACTTTAAAAAGTACTATGCAAATCACCACCAAAATATGGCAGCTTGGTTTAAAAAGAATACAAAAAATCATCGTATTTTGTTATAATGTTACAAAAATAATATTAACACTGAAGATCATTTCCATATAGATGATGTGTGTTTTAAAGTAAGTAAAATTGGATTTTTTTAATGAACTTCTACTCAGAACTTGTGTTTTCACAATCTGTGAGACCCCATTATCAAAACAATTTTTTTATATTGTGTATGTAAATGCAGCCAATGTTTGTCAGGAAACCTAGCCCAGTGTCCAAAGTACAAATTAAAAAGTGGCTTGGTCACTCAGCTTAAATGACTATATTCAACTGGAAACACCTTGATACAGTGAATTTTAGGTATAGTACCTAGGTCTATTGTTTATTGGGCTATGCATTGATAGACATTAAGAGTCTATCAATAATAAATTTAAAAGTTATGCCTGATTTTAAAGGAATACTAGTCTTTCATCAATTCTCTTTGAAATTACATTGTATAATCACAATTTCCATCTGTTATATTTCCTCTATATCTTTCAAACCTTTGGTAAAATTAACTAGAAGTGAAATCTTCTTTTCTTTTAAATCTATCATGCTATATTTTGGTACTGGAAATTTTCCCTTAAATGACTAGAAGTCAGTTAATCCTTAGACTTTTCGGGAAATTTCTGTGTGATCATAAAAGTGGCAGTGATGAAACATTGTTTTCCAGGAGTTGTGTAATAATATGACTGGCTTATTTCCAACTTACTAGAGAGGCTGTATTCTCTATTGCTGTAGGGAACTAAAATTATTCAAATTTCTTAATTATTTTGTGGAAATTGAGCAAAACCATAATGATGCTGAAAAATTACTAATATCCTTAACTTCAAATTAGATGATTCTGTTTTCTCATTCCTAATTTTGTGATCTAGACTTTCTTTTCTGCATGAGTAAGTACAAAGTACAAAGTACAAAGGTACTTAGATCTGGTTTGAAATTCACCTATGAATCTTGGGTGGTAAGGTTTAATACTTGTTTTAATGTGCTTCTTTTTTCTTCACACTTCTATGGCTTTCCTGAAGTATCTTTAGAATAATGGAAATGTTAATTGGAAAGGACTGCTGGATGTTGTCTAATCTAGCCTCCTCCTCCTGAAAGCAGATCACCAAGAGCAGTCCAACATGAGTGTGTTAGACTGACTCAGCTGACACATGCCAGCGTCCAGGAACTGAAGTTTTACAATTTTTTGTTAAGCCTGCTCTACAGCTGCCTTAGTGCAAAATATTACCTCATATCTAGTGTGAACCCTCAAAGCTGCTGGCTATAATTTGCTATATCACATCAGCCCCCACTGACAAAGGTCGGGTCAATGTTGTCTTTGTAATTACTTTTTGGGTGGTTGTAGGCTGCCATTAGATGAATTGACACTTTAGCCACCTTTTCAGCAGAGTAAAGGAGTCTACGGGCCTCAAATATTTCTTACAGGTGATTCACTTTAGTCTTCTGCAGTTTCCTCACATCCTTCTTGAACTGTAGGCCCAAAAGCTGGACAAAATATTCTAGGTAAGGCTTAAACTGTTGACAAGCAGTTGAAGTAAATTACTATCTTTGTTTTAGTTGCTGTGTTCCTCCTAATGAAGCCCAGTGTGTGATTTGAACTTTTTCTAGTGATAATATACTGTTGCCTTGTCTCCAGAATTCTGCTGCCCATAAACCGCAGGTTTGTGGTTGGGTAGGGTGGCACTCAGACAAGTCAATTCCCAGCTTAGGTTATCTGTTGTAATTCTGTAGCTAAACAGTTGCTCTTCACCTCAGTCGACTCTGAATTTCTGTTGGCCCAGTCATCCATGCGTAGGCACTCAGCTGCTATGTTACTGTTCACTAAACCATTCCCCCAGTTTAGTGTCACCTGAAAATGTCCTCAGCAACTGTTCTGTGTCCACTTTTGTCCATGTTGTCAAAGGACCTGTGAACCATGAGTCTCTAGAATGTGCTCCCCAAATCCACTGAGTGTTGCTGTTTTCTTGCTGCTTACTCAAACCTCTGAAATAAGAGGATTTTCATACTTCTGAATTTCCAATCATCTTTCTTACTCACTGACAAGATTGCTAGTGGGATTTCATGTAGTGGATCACACAGTTTCCGTGCTGCCTGGGATGAATACACAGAAGTGTCCATTGCCATTTGACTCATTAGTTTGTAGAGGAGTGAATTATCTGGGCCTCAAAGTAGAGACTGTCTTCTGCCTCAGGTTGAGGCTTGCTCTGGAGCAGATCTATTCTTGCACTTGTTCTGATATTCTTTAGTCTTTTGTACTGAGTAGGTGATGATTGTCTGTAAAGGAAGAAGATAAAGAGTAAGGTGGATGCATGTTTCTGTGATTTCATACTATGAGTTGTTATATCTTATTTTCTCAGCAAGAAGTCAGGCAAATTATTTAAATGTTGAGAGGCATTTAGAGAGTCTACTGGCAAAATTGCTCTCTATTGTCATAAATTCAATGTCATTCGTATTTAAAGACTGAAAACATTTCTCTTTAATATATGAGTTGTAACTCATGAAGTTGCTTTTTAGTAATGTTTATTCCTTATACAGAGAGAAATCATACAAATACTACACGGAAATATCGTTAGGATGCATCTTGCTGGCATCTCGTTTCTTCACACCTGCACTCAGGCTTAGAGGATCAATTCTCATTTTGTCATATTCTACTGAAGAATAAAACCACTATAACTTTAAATCTTGCTGTGGTATTAAATCTGTTCTCCACTGCTTTGAGATAATAGGCAGCTGCTTTAGCATAACTTGAACCAAAAACAAATGTCCTACTAGCTATTATTATACTTCTGTCAGAAGAATAGTTGAACAGAAGCTGCCAGAACAGTCTGGCAGAGAGTTGGGGTTTCCTGGCAAGAATTAGCTAGCCAGCAGTGGACATTAAGAAATGCTGTCATGAAAATTACTATATTATCATTAGACACTTGATTTTTTAATAGTATTTGAAGCTATTCTAATATTTAAACAATATTTAAAATCCTCAGATTATCTCTGTCTCACTTCAAAAATTTCTGTAGAGATTTTGGTATAGGCAAATAAGTCAAAATACAAAAATCTGCCCTGTGCTTCTCCTTAGGATACAGCTAATAAATCATATTTAACAAGCTGCTTATGTCCAGAATTCTCTCAAACAGTTCCTACACAACCAATGGACAAGATGTAGTCTTTTTTTTTTTTTTAAGAGATGTCTAACCAAAATATACTTATCACACTTCTGTGTAGGATGTTTGCTCTATACTTTGCTATATAGAGAAAAAAATATTTCAGTGGATAAAAGACAATAAGATTTCCTTTTACTTTCATAATATTGAAATTACTGTCCTTAAAATAATTCTTTTTAAGTTTTTAAGTTTGGGTTCTTCTTTTGGCTATATTAGAATTGCAGCTTTATTTTTAATCTTCAGGTTTTCATGAATTCACAAAGAGCACAAATTCACTGTACTAAAAGTTCTGCTCAGATTTTGCTTGCTTAACATCCTTTAGATATCTGTAGCAAATTCTTTCTATTATTTTTTTATTAGCAAGAGTGGTTTCCAAATAAAACAGTCTGTCTTTTAGAGAGGTTCAGAAACTTTACACCTTTACCTTTCTTGTTGAAAAAGTATAATTCTCTTTCTTCTTTCATCTGCGTCTAATAGAGATATATCTATAGTTCTGAATTACTTGAGATGAAAGATAAAAAACTTACAGTCAAGTAAAATGAAAAGTAAGGTGCTTGTGCAGTGATAATTGTTTATATTTAATGGAGGATGTAACAGGCTGGAATTCCTCTCTGCTGGAATTATAAAAGTGTAAATGAGGAAAAAAAAGAGAAGAGGCCAAGTGACATCCATACTATCATGCATGATTAAATCCTGATGGCTGCTAGAGAATTGTACAAATACTAATAATTTATTACTAAACAATAATTAAAGGCAAATATTAGATTAGAAAATCCTGTTCCCACACATACCTATAATCCTATCATATAGTTAGTTTATAAAATTTTTCATTTTTAGTATCCGTAGATTTTGCCTCTCATACCATTTGAGTAAATGAAGAATTGAAAAAATGACAGCTAGTAACAATCTAGTTCTTCTTTAGTCCTTTATATTTGAAAAAAACACAGTATTCCATTTCTCTCAAGCCAGTGACATTCCAAAGCTTCTGGTTCAAATTTTTGTCCACTTTAATCCAAAGTCTATATATGCTTGCATGTCAGTATAATTTCAAAAGACACTTTACATATCATTATTGTGAAAGTATTGAAAATACTATGCATTTTTGTTATTCAGGAAGAGATATAGAAATGAATGACTGAAGAGAAATTTGCTTCTTTAATGCATTTTCAAACATAGTTTGAAAATATGTTACATAGGAATAAAAATAAGAAGAAAACCTGAATAACAGTTATTAGGTGCTGAGTTACAAAGAGTGAAAGTAAATAAAATACAGAATTCTATTTTTTACAGTACATAGGTTTGCAATTATGTGTTTGCATACATATATGATTAGTATTTTTCATAAGGTATTTTCTGTCTTCTTTTCATATAGATATAGATGTAGATGTAGATATAGATATAGATATAGATAGATATATAGATATATATGGATATATAGATATATATACTTAGTAGTAGTGATCCAAGGGGATTTTCAGTTTCCCATGTAACTCAGTGTTTGGTTTCTTCCAGGACATTTCTGGATAATTCTGATGAACATCTTCCTCAAGATTTTTCAGAAGTCTTTTATCATCCATTACACTGGTTGTTTTGCATACCATCATCCTGTTTTTTCTTTCTGAAGTGAGTATCAAAAGTTGATTGTTGTAAATGAATCACCAGATAGTCAGGATTAGTCAAATATTGTTACATTTTGAAGAGTATATCTGAATAAATGTCTAATTATTATTCTGATTTTTAAGACATAGCAGCATTTTTAAATTCATTGCAGATTTCCTTAATCTTTGAGAGTATGAAGAAAAATTGCACTGAAAGCACTGTATTTTGCTAGTCTGTTAATTATGTTTGATATTTGAATTATCTGTAAGGTTTTCTGGCTTTAATTAAAGATTATATAGTTCTTGACAATACAGAAGTTCAGCACAGTATCTGTTCTAAGGGCCTTATAATTAAAGGAGAGATAAAGAACGTATGCCCTTCTGTTTAGGATTGCTGTTTTAAAAAAAAATTGGTACATAAATAACTCATTGAACAATATGCTGCTTGATCGTAGTTGAATTTTTTGGAGATTATTGAATGGTGAAAAGTAAAAGCATAACTTTCCTGTATCACTGCAGATAATGACAAGTGACATAGAAGATACATGCTACCAGCTGTGCTGTTGTTTTCTTTCTAATTTTGAACCTGAAGCACTCCCACACCAGTGTAGATCGTATCTCAACCACTCCCCCTTCACCTCTCCCTCCTCCTTTTCAATGTTGTTTACTGAGAGGTTTTCATGGAAAGCTGCTATTGTGAGATGTTACTGTGTTTTCTGAGAAAATATTTTTATATTTTGGAGGAGTACATTACCAAATGAGTGGTAACCTATGGGTGACCCATGTGCTTTGGATTTATTACCTATTTCCTTGTACACACAGTATCTTTTACCTTTTATATGAAAATACTTCCCCTATAATTTTGCCCCATACTACACAAAACATTCTGATTTCTCTCCATAGGCTCCGCTCCTAGCTACATGTCATCAGTCCTGTTCTCTCCTTCCCTGGTGCCTCTGATATCTGCTGAACCAGAGACAATATATGTTGTGACTGCATCAAAATCATGTAGCTCACTTATTACATGCCAAACAGAGTTGAATAACTGGTGAATTCAAAATGTGTCCTGCTTGAAAGAGTAGTTTAAGTTCTTAGAAGGCATTTAAAGTATATAAAGTATATAAAGTTATAAAGCATATAAAGCAAAGTTTATCAAGCTTCAAGGAACTTTGTCACTGACTTTTTAAGTTATGCATGGTTGGAGAGAAAGGAGAAGGTAGGATAGAGGAGAGGGAATGATGCATTAAAAAGGAATCTAGTCATCCATTTCTGGAAAATTTATGCTCCATTAAGTTTTCATTGTAGAAAAGTCAATAAATTTTTTGATGCCATCATGCAAGGCCAGATCTCAAAATTTAGATTACACTGTGAAGTATGAGTTTTGGAACATGATTCCACGAGTACCCTATGCTTAATATTACCATTTCAGTCTGACATAATTATCTTTTCTAAGATAATTATGTATGTTTTCTGAGGTGGAATTAAGATAGATTTGAATAAATAACAGAAAACTATTCCAGAGTTAGTATGCACTTACTTTGCATGGAAGAAAAGGTACTAAAATACAGAACTCCTCGATCGACAAATAGGGAACTGCAAAGTACAAAAACAAGTACATCTCTGAGAAGATACAGTCCGTGTGCCTTTGTGAGAAAAGTCCATAAATAGAGAGAGTCTTATATACTGTCCTGGTGATAATGAGTGAATTATATTGGTAAAATATTTAATGTTCCCTTTTAACAGCACACCTTTCAGCTGCTCAGAAAAAAAAAAAAAGTGGAGGACTCTGTATCTAATGAATAATTCTGAGGTGTTCCAATTTTTTCATTGGTTTTATACTCCATGTGAATGGAACTTTTGTTCCACTTCAAAGAGTGCCTTTAGAATATTATAAAAAAAATTATTTAAGCATTGTAGAAAACTGTATTTTAGAGCATCTTTCATCAATTCATGGTTTGTTTTCTGATTTTACATCTTATATCTAATTAAAATTCGTGTTTACCATGTGTAACAAAATAGGAAGCACAGGCCATTTTATACCACTCAACTGTGGCCACCTGATTTTTAGCTTATGACTCTAACCTGTCATACTTAGATATTAGTCTCCCTAAGCTTGCTATGTAAAAAAAAAATAAGTTGTTAGTTCTTGAAATTAATTTGTTTACTATGTAACCTGATTTCCTACATTATTTTTCATTGCTGAAAATGGCTACAGTCTGTTTAATTTTATCAATTTGACTCCAACATCAATGTCAAGGTTGTTACCATGAATTAGCATATCTGCTTGCCTTATAACATCTTGAACTTAGCACATGAGGTTTTCTTTCTTTCTTTCTATCTTGAATACAAACCAAAATAATATAGTTGGTTATCAAAAGAAATAATTACTGATAATTTATATTACAGTTATTTTAGTGGTAATTGTGATTCCTTAGTGGTAATTGTGATTCATTCTTTGCCTCCCTTGGGGTTTATAATTATACCATTTGCAAATCAAAGTTGGGTTTTTTTTCTTCTACTGTACAAAACAGGACATTTATATGTGTGATATTTATATGTACTTCACCTTTTGTCACTTTTTATGAGGCTAGTCTTATTTTCACTAGTACTGAGCTATGAGGGTGAGAGAACATATGTTTCTCCATATGCACATTACAAAAGTTCTCAGCGCATTTATTGGTGCTAGCTTCATGGCTGTAGGGAATGTCTGCTATATTTTATTTTTCCTCCAAGTGAGTCACACCATTGTACATTTCAATTTGCAAGATGCTTAAGGAGCCAAGAACTGGTGTATATTACAACATGATAACTTCCCATCTGGTCAATGACAGACAGTTTTTTTTCAATTCAGATACTCTAAAAATAGGAATTTAAAATACTATTCTTCATAAATCTAATTGACCCAACTTGTCACTTATCTTTTGAAGTCAATGGTCAATGGGTGGCCTTGTTAGATAGGATAACATGACATTAAAGGAAGAGGAAAAAATTAAACTGGCCCAATTATTTTAACAGAATTAGTGAAGAGTTGAGTTTGCTGTCAGCCACAGGATTAATTCTAGTGTGAATATAGTAACTGTTTTAATTTTAATTACTAACTACTGATTAGATTATATATATACTGATAAGAATATATTATATATACTATATAGATTATATATAACCAATCTTGAACATATAGAAATTAGAATAATTATTTTAGGAGTGCAAGTCCTAATGTTTAAATACAGTATGTATTTTAAATATGGAGAATTTACTTTGACTGCAAGTTCTATCAATATTTAAATGTATATGTGTATATATTTCTGATAAATATTAATACAATCTAGTATGTGCTAATGTGCAAATGTAATTGTAGAGTCAGTGCTATAAAGTACCAGATGAAAATCAGAAAAGCTGTACATCAGATTTTCTGGCACAGACATTGCTTATGAAGTTAGAGGTATTTCCTTTAATATTAAAAGTGCAAAGGCTGAGGTGTCTAAAATCTTCCTTTACTAAAATGACCATTACAGTGGAGTTTTTTCATAATAGTGGGATGTAAGGCCCTGCTGGAAGATGGGTGCTATGGTTTCCTTCAGTGGCTCCAAGGCTGCCCTGTGAGATAGGTGGCATACTGCTTTTTCTGGTAATGGAAACATAGACGTATGAGGGCCTAAGCTAGAGGAGCGTATCAGATGACATTTTCTTTTCCAGGACTTGTAGATTTGTATTGAATATATTGTATAAATAGCAGCTTTGACTCAACAGTGAAGTACTTGTGCAGTCTATTTTTCTCATATGTGTATTCAAGCATAGCTGAGAGGTGTCACATTTGGTCAGAGGTTGTAAAAGTATGCAACTTAATGGAGAGGTACCCCTCTGTTAGAACAACCACATGAGACTATTTTAGTTCTGTCACAAAAGTTATGTGTAAATGGCACATAAAGTGTTTTAGCAGAGACATATAAATACTTCTCTAGTCTGACTGGAAAATGTCAGATTGAAAACCTCCTTTTGAAGAAGGTTTCAACTGATGTTGAAGATGTTTTTTGCATACTGGCAGATGATACTTATACCTGCCTAGTCAATGCATCACTCCATATCAAGTACTTAAAATCATGCATGTAAAATTCATGTGCATAAAAGTTTATCTACGAGGTGCATAAAGTTTCAGTGTTACCAACTATTGTATAAACTTGTAGCCAAAAAAGTAAATAGAGTGGCTAAAAATAAATTAAAATTTAATTTTAAAAGAACCTTCAAACTAATAAAAACTTAGACATTAAAGGAAAAAAACCTATCCACAATCCAGTTTTGAAAACTTGTTTTTGAAAATGTTTCAAGAATACTAAATACAACAGGCGGTAAACATTTGGCAGGATAGATGAGTTTGTTTGTTAGTTGTTTAACCATAATGTGAGTTTAGTGATTGGTGTCGGGTCACTGGCTGTGTTCAGAGTAAGCCCTGGAATAGTATTTGGAAACCTCAGTTTTTGTAGAACATTGGAATCACAAACAGAAAATAAGCTGCAAACAGAAAATAAAGTGCAATATTTTTAAAAGCTAATGAATTTGTACTACACCTTCTCACTTCTCGCTGCTGGCAAAGCGGTAACTCAACCAGTCTAATATTTCTTGTGGATCTTTCAGGACACATAAAAATTGCACAACCTAAAGTGGAATTTTGCAACCCCTTGGAGTATTTTCATTGCTTTTTACTTAAGAGCTTTATATACTTCATCAAGGACAGACACTTCAGATTTCTTACTCAACAATTACTGCAATAGTAAACAAAAATAATAACCTTACATTTATTCAACTGAAAGATAAAAAAAACCTCCTTTTTGCCTGGTAGAACAAGATAAATACAGTTTCATAAAAGAGATAAACACAGTTGTTTTGTATCAGACGTAACTGTGGCAAACTAACAAATGTCAATTTGCTTTTAACTAGTTGAAATTAAGTGTAATTCTTTCTCTGAGCTGCCTTAAAGTAAGGAAGCATGAAAGTATTTTCAGAGTGATCTGGGAGGAGTTGACACTTAAGGGAGTTAGTGTTACATCTGCAATTTAAAGATATTGATTTCATAGATAAATTAACTATATTAACTATATTCTTTCTGTCATTATCTTACATTTTGAAAGGACTCCATCAACCAGAGAAATGGCAGCCCGAGGTCTGCTGAAGCTGCTCTTGTCCCAGCCATACTGTAATTTGAGCTTGCTTTTGGAAACATTGCTACACCATGATTGTCTCTTAGTGAAAATTTTGCTGAGAAGCTCAAGTAAGTATTGATACTGTCAATCCGTATAAGAATACCAGTGAGAAACACAAATTCATTATTAACTACTTAAATGCTGGGGGAAGGCTGTAAACAATTTTGAGGGTTAGGTACCTATTTACTTATTAGTAGGACACTTCTTGAATGGGTATATAGATAGAAAAATCATTACTTTTTTAGTGAGAATTGACACTCAACCAGTGTATTAATAATTTCAATGCAAACTGCAATATTATAAAATAGGCTGCTATAATAAATGCAAAAGAGTCAAAATGAATTTGAGCTTAATAGAGCTTTGATACCATGACTACCGTATACAGGTTTTTGAAAGTGTGGATGAGTAGTCTAAGAGACCACTTTAAAAATTACTTCTGAACAGTGAAAAGCTTATTAGATGTTTTGTTAAAGTTATTATATGCTCGTCACTGTAGGCATTCTAGAATTACAGTTATATACTTCTGCTTGTTAATTCTTTAATGATGTTTGGAAAGTAGAATAAAGAAACCAAATTTTTATTTGCATTCTGATGGTATTGTGTTTGAAGCTACAAACTGTATCACTTATTTGCATTAGTAGTTTGCAGATCAAATTATTGTATTGTCAAATAGTTAATGGTATAATTACCTGTTTGACTTAATGTTGCGGGAACATGAGAGTCTTGGTTTATTTTTTGGCAAACAAGTTCTTCCTATTATCAGAATAATATTTTACATATTTATATTTATGTTTATATGTATTTATATATCTATCTATATAAAACATAATTTAGTTCAGTCACTTTAAAATGGTCTAGTATTTGTCAGGAGTACATCATCTTCCACTTTTGTCATGCATCTTATTGAGAGCTGCAGTGCATACACTTGACTATTCAAACACATGTCATCGTTTAGAAAGGCTGACAAATGTTTGATCAGGGTCATAGTCTTACCCTAGTGTTATCCAGTATTGAGTTTTGCTATCTGTTTAAATTATTACAGGTAATAAGTGACAGAATGTATTAGTCTATTGACTGATCAACCTCCTAAGCTTTAGGGAAATCCATGTTACTTTGAATTACAAAATGTGTTATTTATACAGGCTTTATTCATGTAGCTTCAATATTGGAATGAATAAACTTTCAGCTTAGATGAAGTCAGTATCTGTGATAACCCATATCATCTAAATTAATTTCAGTGTGATTAATGACAAAAAATTTGTATTTTTTTATTCCTTCTCCTCTACAGCTAAACATACCATAGTTTTGAACAATTTGCCCTAGTGATAACAAAACTCCCTGGTATGAATTCTTTATAAGAGAAAAGCCTTCTAACATTTTTTATATTCAGTCTTTCCTTTTCCTTTTAAAAACAGGCCAGAAGGCAAAACATCTTATGTATTGATGAATTTTTCTGTACTGTTTTAACAATTTGGGATACTCAAAGTAGACATCATTCAAACACATTAAATTTCACTGTATTCCCATTGTTCTTATGGTTGTACCATGGGGAGATTCAGAAGGAATGTATAGTCCCCATCATAGTAGGGAGTACTGTTGGGATTGCCAAAGTTCTTTCAGTAGAAAGAGTATTTGTAGAGAAGCTATGTAGGCATGATTCATGTTGCTAAATATTATAAGGATGTTGTATTTGTTGGAGCTATTGAAACACCATGTATATGATTATATACTATCTGGACAGGAAGATGACAAAAAGTGCACTTTTGTTATTTTGTTTTGCAATATGATATATGAAATGCACATAAAAATTAAAATATGGAAATATGAAGTTGTTGCGTCAAAAAATACTCAAGGTAATAAATCAGGTTACCCAGAACTGAACCATTTATTTGTCTTCAGTGAGTATGGCTACTGCATGCAGGCAACTTCGAAAAAATGGTTGAAAATTTTGATATTGGTATTTGACCTCTGTAACAAGCTGTGAGTCTGAATAACCTAGGTGTGTTAAGTTACAGTGCCATATAATCCTAGAGTTTTTTTCTATAGGTTCAACTTTCTTCAAAACATGTTCTTGAGTGAGTAAAGGGTCTAAGGTCTCTGCTGTGTTTTTGCAGAGAGAAATAGTGAAGGTAGCTGTACGGTGTTAATTTTCTGACAAACTGTCATGCAATTTACTTGGCAGATTTTTTTTAACCAATATTGCCTTATTGTTCATGGATATGAAATAGAAGTGGATTATTTTGACAAGCAACAAATAATAGAGGAAAAAAGGAAATGGTGTCTGTATAAAATAAGTAGCTGAATCCAGCAGATGCTGACATGAAAATGTGAAGGATGAAAGTGAATTCTGAGCATTTCTGCTAGATTTGCACTAAATACACAGTGTGCCAGTGGAACAGTCTATGACTTCTAGTTTGATAATCATTATTTCCAGGAATCAGGTGTTTTTCCTTTGCATAATTAAGCAAACAGTAATAGTTTTATCAGATTTCAGTGGCCCAACACAGGATTAATACCAGAGGGAACCCCATCAGACAGTGGACACCTGGCCACTTATGAATAGCAGATAAGACAGCAGTCACTAAAAAACTGTCACTGAGAAATTGTCAATAAGGCACATTCCAGACCTTCAGTCAATCCTTGGGTCTCATATATTTGTTTAAGAAGAGACAGTAGTGTCAAATAGATCATGAACAATAGAAAATGCAATGTATTGTTTTATAGTCTTATAAAGAATCTTATTCATTACCGTAAAAACTTGAGACTCCAGTTGTTAGAGAAATTTTATTTGTCTTTCTACACACAACCTAAAGTGAGCGTTGGTATGTGGAAATAAATTGTAAGAAAACTGCATTTACAACAGGACCAGGTCATTGGTAGTTTCAGCTAATGTTTTTGGCTTGCACAATACATATTTGAAAGGCTACGAGAAGACAGTATTGTTTAGTCTGTACATCTCAACATAGATGTTATTCTGGGCTCCACTAAAATTTTGAAATAAGAATAGATAGTAACATTTACAAATATTCTGTAGTAAGTCTAAGGCTGAAAATCTGAAATTGTACCCAAATAAATGTGATTTGTTTCAAAAAGAGATCAATTATCCTGCACATGTAAGCAGGCTGGGGAAGGGAACATGTCCACCAAGAAAACAGAATTGGATGGTGCATCATTAGACAACTTACTAGACACTAATAAATATTAAGAGCTTTCTAAGACCATTCTTTTATTAACCATTTTCTGGAAAGAGAACTTGGAAATGTATTTGTAGAACTAGAAGATTTTTTTCCCCCACTCCAGTTCTTTGCCCTCTTTGAAACAGTTCTCTAACTGCCATGATGTATAATGTGTCATTTTAAGGTAGATTTTAAGTAATAATTAATTTTTAATCAAACTTAATTAATTCCATTTTAGACATATCAGAGTAAATAGCACTTGTTTTTTGTGAGTTATGCTAAAAGAATAGTGAAAAGTGGTAACCACCAATTGGCCTCATTTAGGAGACTGAACTATTAGTGGCAGTAGTGAGTTATTTCAGAAGAAAATGTACATGCCTTACATAAATTACCAACTGCATCAAAACTCTGGCATTGTTAAAATCTGTAACAATTTGACACTTTTATTTCAAGTTCTTGAGGGTCATTCTTCTTATACTTTCATTGTACTTTCTCATACTTCATTGTACTTTCTTCTAATGGCTCCTTGGATTTAATAATCCTGTGTCATGGTCTATCACACAAGTGAAAAAATTAGCAACTGTTGTAGTCCCAGGGCTCAACCACACACCACTTTCAGGAAAAATAGTCTTGCAGGTTTTGGTCACAAAACTTGGATGTTAGTCTGTAACCCAGCCCTCATTAGGAGAGCAAAAGTAAATCTCTTAGAGTAATTTATATCTTTGTGCAGAAATAGATCTCTTCTCCAGGTATTTTGTGGGTCATCCAATATAAGGCTTGTGGGTACCTCTGAAAGCTTTTTCATGATAGTAGTTGGTGTCATAGTAGCCTAATGGTTAGAAGATTACTTTAAAAGTGGCATCTCCTCAAAAGTTCCCTCTGACCAGTGAGCTTACTGGATTCTGTACCTGCTTAACCAATCAGGGATGTACTGAAGTGATATACTTCTAGCTGGAAGACAAGTAAAAAAGGGACCTTAATACAGATACGCTGTTCCATTTGGTGACTTTCCACCAATAAGCTGGAGAAAACAGTAAACAGATTTTATGGTATTTCTGAAAACCTATATAGGATTTCCTGCTTGCACTATCGTGGGCCCCTACTGTGAATCACTTACCTTTTCTTGACAGAGTGTGAAGATAGTGTCTGATACATGTGTGACAGACCTGGTGCCTGTGATATATGGTCATGTGGATAGCTTTTCAAAGATTTAGTAATTTCTGATAGGAATTTCTTACTACAACAGAGCTCTAGACTGAATAAGAAAGTAAGCTGTAAAGCAGACTTTTAAGAAAGTAAGCTGTTTAGTATCTATCCCAATACATGGAGGAACACACAAGGCAGCTAATGTGGCCTTAGGACTACATTCAGTATTGCCTTATCAAATTTTGGCTGTCAGAATGTCACACTTTCTGCATACTATCCCATAAAATCACTACTGCAGGTACTCTGACAGTAATTTTTTTTTTTCTATTGGCCATAGATAAGAGACAGATTCTACAGAAGTCACTGAATTTCATTAATGGAAATTCATTAATGGAAACTCAGAAATTGATTAATGGAAGCTTCTTCTCAGATAGTTGAAAATAAATTGTTTAGTGAGAAAAAATTCTAAATGGAGCTGAACTAAATTAAAGTGCTGTGGCACCAATGACTTATATAGCTAGAGAATTAGTTTGCTGATATGTTAATAATTTATGAGCAGATGATATAAGTGTTGTTAAAGTTTTTTTGCCATGTTGAGCATTTTAGTTGTCATAAATTTAGGATTGTTTGATTCACAGGTAGCAGCTAATACAGGGATTATTATAATTTGGAATGTATTAAATTGAAATGGGTAGGTTTAAGATCTGGGTTTTATTCAGGATAGGAGTAACATGACCCTGAGATTAATTTAGATGGTTAGAATGTGGTGGTGGTAGCAAGAAAATTGTGGGTTCAATCCCCTATAGGCCATTTACTTAAGAGTTGGACTTGATGACCCTTGTGGGTCCCTTCCAACTCAGACTATTCTGTGACTCTTCCATGAAACTATGATGTCAAATTTCTCCTTGGAATTTAAAACTAAAATAATACACTTTCTGCCAAAATGAAGCCATGTTCAAAGTTACAATAGATTTTAACTGTCATTGGAGAGGAGCAACTCGGAAAGAAAGGTAAAATGATCTACCAGGTCAAATAAAGTAAAGGAACAGAAATAAAGTCAGTGACAGAAGAAGCACAGAGGATGTAGTGTACTGCAGAGTGCCTGCTGAAGGATTTGATTCTATAAAAAAAATAGAACATTTCCTTTTTGCATTCTTTATATCTTCATCAGTTGCTGTGATTTAAAGAAACCTGTAAATATAATGAAGAAAGCAAAACTTTCATACTCTTTGCAAAGTTAAGACCAATATCAGAAATAATTAATTCCATCTTCAATTCCTCTTCCTAAATGAAACAGCATGTATGAATTTGAGTTTTGACTACCTCTTTTGGTCAAAAATACAGCATAAATTTTTGTATCTTGGCTGTTGTGTATGGATTAACTGGGGAGAGTGAAGTCTAGAGTCAGTAACAGAAGATTTTTTGAATTCTGCAAGATTCATTTTATGGCTAGATTAGTCAGATGAGTGCTGGATGAGTGATAATGTTGGCAAATTACTGGATGGTATTTCTATCATTAAGAAAGAAATATGGGTAAATTGCACTTGGAAGCCTGCCTTTCTGAAGTTATGTTTTTAAAATGTGTGGTAGTATCCCAAGAGGTTTAGTGCATTATTTTGTCATAGGAAGAACGATTCATTGTGAATGGTTTGGGCATAGCTGTTATTCAATAGATACATAATTTTCTTATAGAGATATTTATTAAGAACAATAGTATTTTAATATATTTTGGTACCTTTTGCACGCATAGAACATCATGCTGTATGGAAATAAAAAAACAGCTGATTTTTTTTTATTTTAGCAGGTATCTAGAAAAATATATAGCCATATATATGTATGAATGCTAAGTCTAGCTAAAATAAAGAAGCATCTTCTTTGAGCTAGCTATGGGAGCTTTAGGTTTCCTTCACAAATTAGCTTTTTCTATACAAATGCAGTCAGTGATAAAAGATACAGAGGTATAGAGGGAAGCATCCCAGGGCAGTAAGTATAATACCTATCATATAAATTCTGTTCTATGTAATAATTAACAAGAAGGCTGCATTGGAGTTCAAACTGAGATGAATATTTAATGTTATGACGGGTGAGCTAATAAATGTATAAGAAAAAATCTAAGGCATGAGAAATATACATCACTTTCTGTAGACTCCTAATTCATAATATTTATCCAGCTATACTGATCTGCTAGCTAAACTTTGCAAATTACATTATCCTTAAGGTCCCTTCTAACCAAAAGGATTCTGTGATTCTATGCCCACTTATCAATCAGAAAACTCATTTTAACCTGAGCTTTCAAGCTGTTCTTATAACAAGGACAACGTTTACATCAGGATAAAGCAAGAAAAAGCTGATGAATAATGACTAATCTTGTTATATTTAGCCACAGAATGATTTAGTAGTGGATTCATAGATTTTTGCTTAAAAGCACAAGAGTTGCATTATACAGTAGTTATAACAAGATGTATGTATAGCCTGTTCTACAGAATTCTTTTGTGCTCTTTTCTCTTTATCTAAATCTTTTGGTAGCATCAATTGATTAGAAAAGTTATTAGCAAGTTGTGATTCAAACTTTCCATGCAGCATAGGCATAGAACAAATTTAGGCTTAATTTCAAGTCATAAACACCTTTAAACAAATTTCCCATCATGTACTGTAAAGACAGTTTACATAGTTCTTGAAATCTTAGCAAATCTCCCCCTAGAATTTGATTAATTTTTAATTAATAATAAATAAATAAATAAATAATTTTAAAAATAAATACTTAAAGTAATAGAACCAAAGTTCATTTCAGATTTTCATCTCATTTGAACTGCTTTTTCTGCTTTGATGGTTATTTCTTTTTCATACATAGCCCTGGTTTGAATAAGTGGAATCCATTTGATTCTTCACTTAGAAGCATCTGGCATTGAAAACAATATATGTCAGCTCAGCTCATAGGAAAAAAAAAAGCTGATTGAAAAACTGTCTTATTGCTGATCTTACATTGGGGAAAAAAAACCCACCATAGCTTATTGGTTATGAAATCAATGATCATGTTTTTCAGCTTTCCACATCCTCTGTTTCTACTAAGGTTGAATACTCATCTAGACTTAGTGAGTTAGAGTAATGCATGAATTAGGTTGTTGGAATTCAGAAGAGAGTAAAATGAGATTTTTTTTTTTGGTTCTCAAGTCATTCAAAGATGGGCTGAAAGCAATGATTTATTTTCATTATGGTAAATTTTGAAGGCTTCCATCTTTCTCCTCCACGGGTTGCTAAGGGTAAAAACAAACAAACTGGCAGAAAGCAATGATATTTTATAGTATAATTTTATCTAAATACTTTTTACAGAAACCATTGTTTTTGCAAACTAGAAATTACAATTAAGAGTATTTAACAGATTATGGCTCTGGGCATTCCTCATGGTTGTTGACATTGAAAGCATATTTCACAAAAAGTGGGAAGTTCAGGTCTTCAACATTAGCACAAGTCAAAGTCATTGAATTGCATTGATTCCTGGAGTTTTAAACAAATCCTTATCTTTCAGCTGGGAGATTGTGTAATAATAGTTATCAGAAACATTTGTAAATATTTTTAAGAAATTATCACTGAACTCTGATAATCACTGCTTATCTTTAAAATCTGTATCTTAACGGGGCTCAGATTTTGTTTTGTGGAACAGTTTTATTCTGAGTTTCATTTTACCCTGGAAAACAAAGCCAACACATTTTGGGGAATATGGAGCTGCTACTTTTCTTAACTTTTTATATATAAATAGGATTTTATTATTTCATATGACTATTATATAAGGAAGAGGAGTTCAGCAGTAATAGCCTCTTGACTGTGATTCCACAGTTCTGATTAATCTTCAGTAAACAATCAATTTCCAATTACAATAAATTTCAATTTAATTTTGAATTAAATAGGCATATTTCATAGTTTGAAAACACACTTAAGTCTCTTTTTTATTGGCTACACATAATTCAGGAAGACAGTCAACTGTCATTAGGCAGAGAAAGATCAGATTTCAGTATCTGTAAGTGTTATTGTTTGAAATATTATTCAGATACGCTTTGCAATTTGTTTTGATTAATACTATCCATTACTGAGACCTTGAATTACTTGGAAATTATTGGAACCATGTTTTTGTTTATTTTGAAGGAAATGAAGCATTAAATTGTGATGAACAAAGCTCTCTCTTGGAACAGGAAAATAACAAAGAGTCTACTCTGATTGAAACAATCTTCACAGTATTGTCTTACTGCACTTTATCACCCAAATCTCTTGGCATTGCTTTTGAGTCCTACATGGAAAAAGAGCTCCTGTGGAACTGCTTATACAATATGACAGGTATTTAATTTATTAATAAGCATTTCAAGTCTGATGTTAAATGTTCATCTTCAGACATGTAGTGAATATTATTGTTACCATAATAAATCAGGTGAAAGTATGTTAGCTTACTTGAAAATTATAGTATTATTGAAGGGTTTTGTGCAGTCAGTCCATGGTAGGAGTGGTGAAAATTCTGAAGAATGCAGAGGTTCCAAAGCAGTGTTGTTGACCAGGTGTCTGATGACCTCAAGTGTTTGTCTTACCAGCAGACTGGCTGCAGAACATTTTTGTAGGTCTCTACCAGTAGAGGTTCTTCATCTTTATGCATTTAACAACTCCAAACCTTTGCCACAATTTAAAAGTCAGAGGAGTGAAAAAGAAGAGTGGAAAAAGAGAAGGAAGGACTTCTACTGAGGGAGAAATAATCTGATGAGCATACAATCTCTGGTGTCGACAGGCACCCAGCCTCTTAATTTTGTGTTGAGTGGAACAGCTGCCCTCACAATTAGAGCAAGTAATTTTATCCCCAAGGAAAAATAGTATTCAACCAGAAAAGAGAGGTGAGGTTTAGAAGGGTGATATTGCAAATTATGGATCAAAAGCAGGAGGGCTCAAAAGAAGAGGATGAAAATGGAAGAGTGCAGGAGGGGAAGTAGAATTATGGGTATCACAAAATAGAAAACAATGATAAAAGTGCTCAGGTACTTCTCAGAGAAAAATGGGATTCCAAAAAGTAGTTTAACATGTAAGAGGAAGCAAAACAGGGAAGTGGTACATGGAAGGTTACAGAAAGATCATGATGAGATCAGCAAAAAGTAGACAGAAGCAAAAGTATGAGCAAAGGATCTAAAGATCTAACATGTCAAAGCACATCTCTGATAAGCTCTGCAATACTCTGCTTGCATTTTTGCAACTCCGTGACAATGCAGTTTGCTCTGGTATTAAGAATGTGGAGAAGATTGATACTTGTTGTAATGTCAATAACTGTATTTAGGATGGTGTTTTGAACATACAATCTTTGATGGCATGCTGTGTTTCTGTTGATTACTATTATTTGTATGCACTTTTGTTTCCAAAATACTTTATTTTTTCCTTTACTGTCTGTAGTATAGCAGTTTGGTTATCTAATACTTCATTAATACTATCAAGACAAGGACATAGGAAAAAAAGGTATATCTGTTTGCCTTATTAAGTTCAATGTTTTCCATATAAATCAATCAGCTTAAATATAATTTTTTATAAATATATCAGTGGAGAAGTGAGAATGAAGGAAATAAATGGGTTTTTTTTGTCAGTACTGTCTTAAGATGGCACCAAGATGTTTTACATTATACTCTTTCTTATTTTGTAAGAGACTAATATGTCTAATTTATTATATATCATAATGTTACTTTTTTTCCATGAGAATTCTGAAAACACTTTCTGAAACAGATTTACACAACTGACTACACTTACTGAATAGTTAATAATTCTTCCTTCTGAAGTTTCCAGTTGTGGTGAGTCGGAGCCAGAAGTTATCAGATGCTTGAAGTTGACTTTGATTAATTCAGTCAAGGGTATAGTGAAACAGATAATTTCTTTGATGCATTCATGGGAGGCAACAGAAAACTATGGAACATACCAGCACAAGCAAATAGTTCCCGAAAGTTTACTGAAAACTGTTCCAAAGGAATGGAATTACACTCCTCGGGAAATGAAGAGAAAAGAATCTGGGAAATGTAGGTGAAATTTATACGTAATATTTATATATGTATATATATACAATACATCCTATAAGCTTCTCATAAGAACTTTTAAGTCATTTACTCCCTTACTCCAAAACTGGGCAGTTAAATTTTGTGAGTGTTGTAGCTTGACAATGAATAAACTATTTCCAATCATCCTGTGTTGGTTGGGTTTTTTTAAGTACTTTATATTAAAATTTAGTTATTTTTTTCTTGAGGCTTACACACATACATATACAAACAAGGTTTTGAAAATAACCAGCACTGTAGTATTGATAATACTAGTAGTGAAGATTTTTCAACACCTGGCAGTAGTCAGATGCGATTCAAAACAAATTGAAGATTAATGCCTGTACTTTGGCCTCAATGGATGTAAACAGTTTTCCTTTTCATGATCAACTTTTCATTCAGGACTTCTATGCATCCCAACTTTACAACACAGCAATTTATGCTTGAATAAAAAAAGCACTGAAACTGTTGCGGAATATGCTACTGCTTGGTTGTTCAAACAATTAGTAAAGAAATAAAGAAATCCTGTAGAACAGGAGGTGTTTTGAAGGTGATTAGATGTAAAGCTTATTTCTGGTATGTATTTTCATAGCCTACAGTGCCTAAAGCATCTGTCATTTCAGGTCATAGTTCAGAAGGCTAACTTTTTGGAAACATTTCATGATAAATTATTGCCACCAAAATACCATCTGATTATTTTCAATACTGTAGTATATTGTGGCACAGAGTTTTGAGTATGTAAATTGTGGCCAAGCCAGGGCATCAATCAAGTTTTTTTTTCATATGTTTTCACTGCACTCTCATTTTAATCTAGAACATTTGTATGGCTATTTTGGGTTAATTGCTATGTGTGAACTGATATGCAACCTGAGAGGTAAGACTATAGGCTTCAAGACAATTTAAATTTGTATGTGTGATATCTAGGACAGAATATGGTTTCTTTAATAAAAGAAAAACATTTGGAATGCAGGTGCAATGACACAGAGTTTTATTTAATTGTTTGGATATTGTTTGAAGATTGGTGCTTTTTTAAATCTTGACACCTTTTGCTATATTTTTAATTTTAGATATGTTTTTGTTTTGCTGTGCTGTGTTTTGAGCAGCACAATTTCTCTGTAGTTAATTTTATAGCTACTTTTATTATCTGGAGTCTTTAAAATGCAGTGCAATCTAGAGTAGATGCTTCTGTGAAAGATGATAAACTGAAGTTTTGTTATTTTGAACATAGAAGGAGATTGATAAAAAAACTAGAGATTATAAATATATATTATATGCTGATACACTTAGTGCAATGCTTCAGCTGTGAAGTTGAAAAAATACTACAATTTTGAAGACTAATTTTTACCATTCAGAATACTTGAGTACTGTCTTTCTCATGAGTGCAGTAATGACTGTGCACAGCAGGACTAATTGTTAATAGAATCACAGTCTAAGTTCCGAATTTTAAGCTTTTAATTCATGTAATTGTTTAGGGTTTGTGGGATTTATGTGCAGAAAGCATAATACAAGTGAAACTACAGTGTTGAGTACTTAAGCTTTTTACCCATTTTCAGTACAAAAGAAAGTTAGAAATTATCATACAACATTCAGAAGCAGTTAGAACTATACTGTTAATGTTAATCATATCATCTTTTCTTTCTATTTTTAAGGCTTCACAAGGCTTGCAGCTCAAGCAGTATCTATTGTAATCAGCAAGTTACCTACAGTGATTGCATGTTTGCCTCCCCCAATTAAATACTTCTTTTTTCTGGCTGAGAGAAAAATGTCAAGAAACTTTGCTGAATTGAAGAAAGCTGGTCTGCTTGTCTGGAACTTGATTGTAATTATAGGTCGGATATTTGAGGATGGAAATACTGCAGAATTTTTAACAGGTGCAACACTTGATAGATGGAGCAAAGAAAAACTCAGTTTAGTTCGTGTGTGCTTAGAAAGTATTATGGGGAAACAGAAAAGTGGTCCTAAGCAAGTGACCCAGAAGATTATACAAAGCATTGAACAGCAAAGACCAAACTGGATTGAAAGCCAGTTGCTGAAGGCAAGAAAATTGAGCATAGACTGGTAAGAACATAGTATTTTTCAAATGCTATTATTTGCTCTTTATTTTACTGGGTTATTGGCATGTTTATGGCTACTGCTCAATTTTAAGGAAAAGAGATGAGCAGTGATCTTATAGGAAACAGATTAGTCCTTAATATTTATGGCTTTGTACCATGGGTTTGTAATTTCAATTCATTGTTGAAACACTAAAACATGGTTGTTTCTTCAGAACAGTGTGTTCATAATACTACAAGATTTCATGTTTTCTTGATGAGCCAAAAATGTGGACAAGTCCATTGTTATATCTTTCAAAACGTTAATAGGTACTAAATATAAATTGATTTTACTGTAGTGATTAAATTAAGAGGAACTGTGAGAAGCTTTCAGTCTTCATCTGTGAATAAAAAGTAAACATACTTTATTCCAAAACCCTAAGGCAAAACAGGACAAGAATAATATCCTGCTGTGCCGTTCTGAGAAAATACAAGTTTTTCCTTCAGATTTGAAATTAAGAGCTTTACAGTGATTTTTCAAGGAGTTGTGTACATGTCAGTGTGTTTGTAGTCCAGTCTGTTTTAATGTTGCAGTCATGTATCATTCTGTAAAAATACCATTCATCAACTTTGCGATATTAGATTTATTGGAATTACATGACTTACAGAATTATATTGTAACTGCTAAACGTAAGATTACTGTTTTTTTTTTTCAATGAATATTATTTGAAGTTGCAGTTGTTGCTACCATGTCAGGATTTGTCCATATAAACAAAGGATGCAGTGATTGTAGGTTGGAATCAGTGATACCAGTGAACAGGTTTTCACACAGTGCTTTAAGGGACAGTGTCCTGTTTCTGTGAGTAGTCAGTTAATGTGGTAGCAGTAAGCAGTAATAGTGTCACACAAATGCTCATTGACACTGACCTTTGTTATCTTTACATTTTCATTTAATTCTAATTTACAAGATCTAATCCAGTGATTAAAAGATTGAAGTCAGATGCCTGTGACTGAAGGAGGTGTAGAATAAAAAAGCATAATGATAATTTGAAAAGTGGTACTTAACACAATGGTCCCATAATACCATTTCTAATGACACTGAGAGAATCGGTGCTTCTTAAAAATACAAGTATAAGAAGACAATATCGTGGATAACCAATAAAAACTAAAACTTTAGTTAATTTGCGCATCTTCTGAAGCTGAGAATTTTAAGTTAATATACTACTGTATTCTCTTTTGTAAAATATCACAGAAATGCTGTGTTATATGTTAGGTATCAGATCGTTGAAAGTAAACACAAGAAAATGTTTCTGTATGTTACAGTGTCAAGTAAAGAGAGAACTAGCTTGTGACCAGGTCTGGTGATTTTAAGCTTAGGATAATGAACACTACATTACCTGCTCTCCAAGAAAGCAATTATTTGATGCAGTTATGAAACTGACTCTCCTGACTTCAGTTGCGTTTCTGCAAGAGAAATCTAATACGAATTTTTCCACTTTTCATTCAAATATTATGAGTCAATATCAGGGAAAAAAAGATGCAGTTTATAAATACCTGAGATATGAAATCTAGAGATAAATATTATTATAAATACAAATTACAAAACTAATATATTAGATCTGAAATTCAAATATTCAATTAAAGTAGCAGCCAGATAATTACTAAATTAAAAGCAATCTTTCAAGGGGAGATTTATGATTTTCATGATTGAAATTACTATATTGTCATTATATACTATATAGTAAGTTGGTGTTATGTAACCATTGAATAATCAAATGTTTTCCGGATTTAGCTGGATGCATGTGCATATGTATTCATATTTATAAATGTTTATAGACTTCTAATAGATACATATGAAAGAAAAAAACCCTATAAATTTTAAAAAAATTATTTGGGACTCATCTACACAGACATATAAAACATCTTTGAAGTGCAGTGGGTTTTTTGTATGTAAAATTCTTGCTTGATTTTGTGTTATTACTATCACGGTTGCTGCTTACATAAAAGCCTAAGTAATATGTATTAATTTTAAAGAATATTTAAAAAATTGTAGCCTTCCTTAAAGGTTAAGAAAAAGGCAGTTGCACTCATTGTCTGTCTTGTGAACTGCCTGAAAGCATTACTATTCATTAAAATAACCTCCACTTTATGGTAGCAGCAGAGCTGCAAACAGTCATGTTAGATTCTAAAAAATACACGTCCTGAGAAGAAAAGAAATGTCTGTCTTTGCAAAGTAATTTGTCGAATTGAAGATTATTGTTTTTCATCATGGTGACCCTGACCTTGCTGGCTGGGTGCATATACAGATTAAGATGAATGCAGTTATTCCTTAGCTGGGGCCTGGCTCTCTCAGGGCACATTCTTGCTAATGACATGATTGATAGGCAGTCCCAAATCCAGAAAGGAAGTCATTAATCATAGTGCTGCCTGAATCCAATCATCTGCTTCACCTGCGCAGTAGCGGGCAGTAAAGGATACAGTTTGGGTACTGGCACTGATACATTCCTTTGTCAGAGGTCCTTAGCTTTTTCAATGTTAGTTGCTAAGAATTTTGATAAGAAATTCAGGTTGTATCTGTACATGGCATCAAATATCAGCCTTAAGTGTGCTTTAATTTAAAGATCAATTTCTTCGAGGCTTTTCTGTAAAGTACACCATAATAACATAGTATCACTTACTTACATTCAGCAAAGAACAAAATTATAGTTTATATTTTGAAACTATTTGCTCTGTAGGACATTCTGAAACTGCATGTGGAAGCAATATCAGCTTTAATGTCCAGCAGCTGTGCAGCATTTCAGAGAGCCTGTAGGTCAAACAGCAACTTTAAGAACGACTGACTTTGTAACCATGGCACACTTCCAACAGTAAACTGCAACCACAGTGGTTTTGTTTTCAGGTTTTTGGGGGTTTTTTTTATGTTTTTCTTTTTGTTTTACTTCTAAGCAAATACAATATTTATTTTTTTTTAAATTAATTGAGAATGCTTCTTTATTTTAAATTATTCCAACAGTGTCTGTAGAAAGGACAATATATTCTTGTGAATCTTTTGAGTTCCTGACACATACATGTCAAATACCTGTGTTCCAGCTCTAATATTTGAGTAAAATTTTAGTACTTTTTCTTTCTTAGACTTTATAGCTAGCAATACTAAGATAGTAGTGACTTGTGTTTGTGTGCAGCGAGTCTGACAGTGATCAGGGATTTGAATGCACAAATGTGGAGGCATTTGGAAATGTCACCGTCAGATTTTCATGGTAGAAGTTCCACGCAAATACAAAAAAAACAAGGAACAGTATAGGGCAAAAAATGCAACAAGTAGCAAATAGTTACCTTTTAAATGGCTAACAATATACCAGTGGAAAGAAAACTACTTCAATTTAAAACTTCTAACCTATACTTAGAGTAATGGCTACCTTTCTGACATGTTAATTAGGCTTTAATGTGTGCTGTGACAAGCAAAGAAAAATGCACAAGAGATCGAATGTAAATGCCATTTCTAGCAGCAAAAATACTTCTCTATGGGAAACGGAAATATTTGCTGCTTCTATATCCCTAAAGAGTGTTTTATGTGTTCATCTTCCTGATTAAGGTGTTTAAAACTAGTATAAAATGTTATTTACCATGTATTATGTGAGACATATATGTGCAACAACATTTGTGTAAGTTAAGTACTTTCAGGTGTTTTTGAACATGTAGTTATAGCCGAGTTCAAATTAATATTATGCTTTTTAGAAATTTAACCTAGGACTGTATCTTTTCTATATTCTAGTGCTTCAATCACAGTTAAAGGTACAACGTTAGAGGAAGGAGATACTGCACTTGGATTCACTGAGCATAATATAAACATGATGGTCCTGGATATCTGCCACAAACCAGGTGGTAGCGAGTACCTGAGGCAAATTTATCACATCATCCGGCTCAATGAGGTAGGGAAGCAGCCTTTCCACAGAGCAATTAGGTGTGTACTGGCCTGGGGTAACATCTGCTGGCAGCTAAGGGTTAGTCAAGGAGGTGATAATAGCTCTTAAAGTCAATACAGAATCCTATATTGTATTTTAATAGAATCCATTCAGTTTAGACTTTTGTGCATTTCTACAGAAAAGATTACTTTGTAGGAAACACTGTAGATTTTATTTAGGTACTTAGACAGTAGTATGGGCTCACAAACTTCCTTCAGTTTCATGTTGTAGACTATACATTTTTTAGGAGTCTGAGCACAGTAAAAAAAAAAAATTAAAAGTATCAATGAAGGCTGTTTAAGAATTGACTGTTACAAAAAGTAAAATTACATGTGGTTAATTAACTGTCTTGATTTAAACAAACAAGCAACCCCTGTGGCTGTACTGAGGAAGTAAATGCATTCACATGAAATCTTCCTCAATTTAGACAACACTGTTCAGCTAAAGTGGTTTTAAAATTACAAGAAACAAATTCAGATTTATTTGCTGCATATGGAATTTTGACAATGTAAAAGAATTATCACATTATTTCTAAGGCTGTTCTAAATTGCCCCAAGTTACTAAAATCATTCTGATTTTATTCACTAAAATAAATATAGGTTTGTTTAAATTGTACAGTAACACAAATCTACACAACTTAATTTAGAAAGTTCTGGTTTTAGCTTTAATTACTAAATTCCTTGAATGAATAAGCAGGTACTGTTAAGATCCTTGCTAGTGTACAGAAGTGTTTATAATAAAATACAAAAAAATGCAATTATAGGCAGAGGCGAGGATTTTAATTCTAAAAAGCCTGGTAGCAGAAAACCCTGACTAGACAGCTATGTATGTAGGAAGGCCATAGAGAGCAGCTTAGTACTGACACTGTGCTTCTGAAAATCAGATCCAACTGTTTCGTTCCTAAGTACAGGCTTAAAAATAACCTATATAAATCTGCCTTTGGAAGCAGTAGAAGCAATGTAAGCATATGTGTAGAGCGGGAAACCTGACATTAGTACACTACAGAACCTTTTCAAGTTTCAATTTGCTGAATTTAGGTTTAGGAAGTGAAGTGAAAATTATTACTGTAATAAACAAAACCTTTTCACCTGGAGCACATTCAAAATTACTCTTAGGTATAAAGGAGAGAGGAAAAGACCACCAAAAATAGCATATAGTCCAGTAGTTAGGACCGTTACCTAGGGGACAGCATACGCAGGCTCAAATCTTTATACTTCCTGTTTTATACCAGGGAATTGAATCTCCCACATCTGAACTAATTCCCAGAACCTCCGTACCATTAGCTGTCAGCATGGAACTCCTCATTTTTCCCCTGCTGGAGTTCTTTTGCCTTGTAGAAATAGTGGTAAAAATGCATTCTGTAACTTTCAGTGTCAAAAATAGAATCATACTCTAGCTGAAGGAATAGAATGCACATGCTGGGTTTTGGAGACCCTGCTCTAAGATCTGACTCCTGTGAGTATTTGGTTATTTATACAAAGTGGAACAGCTCCAATAGGAGGTATGAGGCTAAGAGAATTAGGTGGAAGAGGGACTTCAGCCTGACTTTCCACATCCCAGGTGTCTCTCCTTGAATTTCTGCAGCTGGTAAGACCTTTCTTTAAAATAGAACATTTCTCAGTGGAAAAAACTGTATGGTTTTAAAAAAGAAGAGACCCTGACCAGCTTGAGTTATAGAAGGATTTAACTGTATTATTTTCTCTTGCCTTTAAAACCATTACAAAACATTTTAATGCTTAGCATGGTATTATGATAATGCAGTTTTCAATATTATTTTTCAAAACCTAAATTATGTTTTATGTGCCTGCTTATCAAGAAATAGATTTTATTGTTTATTCAAAGGTCCATTCCTTTGTTTAGACTCCTTGGACTGTTAAGGGATTGTGTTGTTAAAATTAGTTTAGAGATCTTCATGCAACAGTGCTTAGTAATCATATGTAGAAACAAAATGATGAGACAGAAAATTGTTCTCAGTAATATTCCTTAGAAAAGCAGGTGAAAAGGACTATGTAAAAGTCGCAGAATACTCTGAGTTGGAAGGGACCCACAAGGGTCATCAAGTCCAACTCTTAAGTAAATATATGGACTCTTCAAAGCTGGATTTGAAAATAGAGATCTGATTTTATAAAAAAATTTAATAAATACTGTAGTACTCAAAACAGCTTACAGCCATGAGAAACGATGCTCACTTTTTAAAATTTCAAGGGTTCATTAAAAACCTTAACAAATAGAACAAAGAACTGAACAAGGAAAAAGGACAGCACGCTGGGAGTTGGTGACCGCGGCAGCCACGAGCTCTCTACAAAATGACTGCTCCACCTTTTACACCCCTGGGGTTGCATCAGGCAGCCCTGGCCCCTCACAGAGTCCATCAGTCAGCTCTTCCTCGCTGTCCATGGCTGCAGCTGCTTTCTTGCACCCTGGCTGCAGCTCAGGTGTTGCCGCCTCTCAGTAAGGAGCCTGCCCGCTCCGGCTGCCCAAGCAAGGGCACAGGAACTCGCCCTCCTGCCACAGGTCCCGACTACCAAGGCCGTGCCTTGGCAACCATCCGGGGGGAAAGGGACTGTAGGGAGAACAGAGAATGTCGAAATAACAAGTCACAGTAATGTAACTATGCATCAATACAACTTCTCTCAACATACACATAACATCTCTTAATTGCCAGAGCTAATCGTCACATTACCCACCTATAAAAAAATCCCCTTTTCTCTAAGTCATTTGGATCGAGCAATTAACAGTATCTGTTGGTGGGGACGTGGGAGGAAAAGAAAAAAACCCTTAGAATTGTCCTTCACATTAATTTGTTGGAATAGACAAAAGGGAATCACAGAGGTCCAGTTTGGCTTTTTACCCCCATGTACCATGCCTATGGAGTTGCTAGCCATGGCAGGTGTATCTTGCTGGAGAATATGGAGGCCAACTCTATATTCTAATTCTAATCTAATAATATCTAATTCTTGACTTAATCTACTTGTCAGTTGTATCTGTACTGGATTCTGGAGGGAAGAGAGAATTGAGGAATGGTAGGAGTCCAGTATAGCTTGTACCCCCACCTTACCATGCCTACAGGGTTGCTGCCCACAGCAGGGCTATATAACCTTCCTGGTGACAAGCACAGGGGCTAACCCAGTTTTGCCCTCTGGTTCCTGTCTTACTCTACTTGCTAACTCCCAAATGAATTATCCTAGCACTTCTCACTGTTCCCTGTGTACCTCCCCTCAACCAATACTTGCAATCCCCATCTGTTAAAATAGGACAATTATATTAATACGATTTAAATTTTCCACCTAAAGTGTTACTTAAAACAGTCTCTGAGCTGGCTGGTGGAAGCTTGACTATTTTTTGGACATCTTGGGGGCTTACAGGAGAAGCAAGAAGCAGCAGAAGTCAGGCAATCTTCTTGCTGGCCTGACTAGAACTGTAATGCTGGTTTATGAACTGCAGGCAGATGTCCCCTGGCCATCACATCTGGCAGAGACACTGCAGTTATCTTAGTTGAACTCACAGGTAAAAAGAAGTCCATCAGCATCAAAAGCCCAACCTAAAAGTGCAAGTAGTTTTTCTCTAATAAATAGGTGGATTTATCCCAGCTCAGGTTTCTTGTAGCAGCAATGTTTACCAGGTTACCCCCACCCCTGCCCTCCGCCAATCTTTGGTTCTCAGGGTCTCTAGGATGCTCTAGGCTTGTTTGCACTGGCAAGACTTGGGTGTCTGCCCCTCTAGGCTGTGGAGATGTGCCAGTGGCATGGACATTTCTCAGGACAAGAGAAAATGCTGTTGTTTTATGCTGATAAGTGAATGGCACAAGTGGCAGCTGTCACCAATTTGGTTATTGCTGTCACCAATCTGGTTATTGCTGTCACTGATTAAAACCATGGGCTGCACATAGGATGGAAGAGGGTGACTTTGTGAGAAAGGTGACAAACAGGACTGGCAACTATTGAAAAAGACTAAAAGGGGTCTCCTTTTTGATCAAGGTAGAGCAAGCAGGTCTAGAGAGGAAGAATATTGGCAGTTACCCGCTCAACAGTACAGGGACAGTGACTAGAGGAAGGCAACACTACATCAGGATTTACTATCAGCATTGCCCAAAATTTTCTGGGTTTAGCAAAAGCTTTTTGGCCACAGCCACCTGCTCTTCCTGTACCCAGCTGGGTTTTCAGCTCTGCCAGGCTGTCCAGCCCTCGGGGTCATGGAAAGGACAGTTCTCCCAGAGAAAAGGAATAAAGGGACTGTCTGTGCCGAGGATGCCTCCCCTTCTTTCTAGGGCAGGCAGCCTCTTTTTGCTTTAACAGATATAAAAGGGAAATGCAGAGGCAAATACTTTTTTTCTATGAGAAAAAGAGTGCTAGGGGCTACTCTAGCTAGCAAAGCTCAGCAGCGACACACGCACACACAGACTCACTCATCTGTTTTCAGCAGCTGGATGCACAGAGCTGTGTATCTAGAGCTATGTTTCTGGGTGTGCCCAGCCCATGTGTGCACCCAGGGGCACGTGCAGAGCCAGTAGTGCACACACACACAGGTACTTGCTCATTTGCACAGAGCCCCAGTGTACAGTGGTACCTGTCAGCAGCACACACACAGAGCTGTGCACAAACTTACACTACAGAGTGTGTAATTCAACACACATACACACAGCAATGCACACAACACACGTATCTCACACAGGGCCATGCTCACACCTACAGAGCTTGTGCACACTCACAAACACAGAGCTGTGTCCAAACTCACACTTGAGAGTGTGCAATTTAATACACATGCACACAACACATGCACAAATCAGCACATACCCATGCAAAGTACTGTACACACCAGCACACTTGTATAGTGTCCAAAACAGGAGGTGTACATTCACACTTGGGCACACTAGGAAACTCACATGCATGCAGCCCATGCACACTGACACTCAGTACCTGGCACATGCAGGCTCAACACGTGTAGAGTCGCACACTGACACACATGTG